TTTTTTTTTTTTTTTTTTTTTTTTACAAGGTCTTGAAGCAAAGTGTCGATAATGACCACAACTAATGCACATCATACTGCTGAAATAATTGGCTGTAACTGAGGTTTTTTTTTTATTAATTTCTTTTTAATTACAGAATTTAATGAGTAGGATGAAAGTTTTCTGGCTGTTTGGCTGCATTACTTTTGGCTATATTATGAAACAATCAATATGATAAATAAGCTAAAGTTTGCCCAAATTCTACCTTTTTTTTCCTGTAGTACAACCAACCAAGAAGGGCAACTAAAATAAACTCTGTGAAATGCTTCATTCATGCTTCTACACCCAAGGGACCGTGTCAGATTGAGTTACCTTTTATCAATCACTGGGCTTTATGAGTAAGGCCCGATGGGTAATAACAGCACCGGCCACGTCTCTATCAGTTTCTATACATAAGTGACATGTGACACCGTCTCTTAGCATCACAATCCATCCCCTCTAATCAAAGGTTCCACCTCAAGCACACCAATGGGCTCTGTGCTCTCTCTTCTCCCCGCTCCTATTAACAAGCCTAATAGCCATGAAATTGGACAACTGTTATGAAAGGAAGAGGCAATCAAAACATGCGGCATTCGGCAAAGCAATGCTGCAGTTTCTCCAGGGACATCACAGGCCAGGTGTCTCAAAAGACGGCTGTCACTCACTCAAAGTCTGAGGCACATGGCAGAAAGAATAAAAAAGACAACAAATTGTATGTGTAAGCATATGGGAGAAGAGCGAAGAGTGAGACACTGGCAGAAAAGTCTAAGATGGCAAAATCAAAGCATGAGAGCTGAATAGATCTCGTTTTTAATGTTATTCCACACAGCTGTGTTGGGAAAATGTCAGTTCAGGTCAGATGTTGTCTTAATACTTGTGCCAGCTGGTTCACTGAGCATATTCGCTTGCCATCCTTTTGGGGATTTTACTTGAGAAAAGATCTGTCTGAGAAGATCTGTACACAGCGTACTTTGTGGTAGGAGGACCAAAGAGAAATGATATTTATAACTGTGACGAATTTTCATGATCCTGACAGACCTGCGAAAGATAATGCAGTTCAAATGAACAAATCTATCTGCATTTGAAATCTGTTTCTGAACTTCAGACTCTTTTGAAGGATAACCACACTGCAGCCAATACTGCAGCAATCAAGAAGCCATTCCTTTATTTGATTGGGGGTAGCAAAAATAGGAGAATGCCTTTTATACGTTTGCTAAGATTGCTTTTTATTGTTGCACTTATTTCTGACCTCCTGCTGTAAAAGGGAAAGAGTTTTGCTTTCCCTTTATTTATGCTGCTTCTGATTATATGTGTTTTTTTTTTAATACTACTGCAATCAGCTTGCAATTTTAAACAATATATTCCCTGGATTACTCCAGAAACAGAGTTGGGTAAGAAAGGAATTTGTTTTGTTATTTTCATTTTCATCTTTGTGTCCAAAAGCACTTCCACAGCCTTTTGATTAAATCTGCAAGAGTGTGGATGACATACTCGTTGTGTTAAGCTCGCCACTCTGAAACTGTTGTATATTCATTTGTTATACAATTTTCCCCATGGGGAATCTCGGAGCTGACATTTGGAGGTGTATGGAGGGGAGCTATGTAGATGTGTCCTCTGACTTGAGTGATAATAAAAGCGCAAGGCAGCATAAAGCAAACCTCTAAATCTCTTGTGCGTTCAGCACCTCTACCATGATTTCATACCAGTCTAATCTCTCTTTCTCTGTGGGTCTCCTGTTTTCCAAATCCTCGGATCACATGATCTTTACAACTCTTTATGTGGTTCTGTGAAATTTACGGCAATTTGACAAAAACAATCAAACTTTACCATTTTAATAGTCAGAAATCTCATCTCAGTGGAGATCACTTGTCCCGTGAGGTTTCCTATCTGCGCTCGTCTCTGCTTGCAGACGGTAATCAAGCCAAAGACACTTGTTACACACCACCTCACAAAACGCGTCCCCACTTTTGAACTCCAGTGTAAAAAGAAATTATAGCCCCGTTGCTTGTTAGAAAATAAGAAAGGGGGAAAAAAACACTGGGCGGCCAATGATTCGTATCAATTCATTGTTAACTCACCCCGTTGCCAGATACGCGTCCAGCACAAGACCAGCTCTGCTCGCTCTCCATCGTATTTCACTTTGCTGCTCTGTCAGAGGAGTGATTGAACCGCCTCGCTCAGTGCGGATGACAGCAGAAGCACACCTCGCACTGAGGATACAGAGGCGCTGGAATGAACCACACTGGTGGTCTGGAGGGGGAACTGAGTGCACTCAAATGATAAGCACTGGCTTTCCGGGCGTGCGAGAGACGTGCGCGCGCGCGTGTTTTTACGAGGGAAGCGCTTTATTTTGAGATGCGCGTGGTGCGCGAGGAGACGACGTCTCGGGCCCGTCAGAGTTTTCATCCTGCTCAGAAAACATTCCCTCTCGCTAATTAGTCTTACTCTGCAGGGATCAGATGTGGCTTGAGGAGACACGGCTCATGCTGCTTTATGATGGATGATATTCGTGCCACCACCACTCCCGTGGCATTTCCTCTAACCCACACCATCTTGATTAATCCATATTTCGCGGAATGTAATTCAGATCCAATTTGTGCGCAGGATCGCGGCTGTGTACAACTTGTAATCGAGTTTCTCTCGACTGGGCTTTGTGGAATACCCACTGGGAAACTTCATTTGTCCCGCGAAAATGGCCTGAGAAAATGATTAATTTAATTAAATCATCACAGTCAGCACCAGAACACTGCTAGGCTGTTTAGCCGGCCATCTGTCACTTAAGAGTCTATTGGTGATGCTTCCATTCGGATACAAAACAGCTTTTCTTCTTAATGGTGATTGCCTGCGAAAAAATAATAGAGCTGTAGGTGGACAGAGAAAGGTGCTCCCGTCAGATTTTATAATGTCAGGCTGTGAATGAGACTGACATCAAGCTATCGAGAAATACATTAGAAGTCGTCTGAGCAATGCCTTAGCTATAAAAAGACCAGCAGTCCCTACAGTGACTGATAATAGGTGTACCCATATAAAAATTGTGGTTTCAGCACCATGGTCAGCAACATCACCCCCACATTTATTTATTTATTTATTTATTTATTTATTTATTTATAGAAAACAATATAGCATCATAAATAAATCCAGTTTGTTTCAGCACAAGATTCAGCATTTTACAGGTAACACTTACCTCCTCCTAATCCTTGGGATTAGCTTGAAAATGCTCGAGCAGAGTAAGTGTGGTCTATCACTAACCCTGAAATATGCAGCTGTTTACAGCCAGAGGGACTCTTGGAGTTTTTTTTTTTATTTATTTATTTTAAATCACACCATCTTCTGCTCAAAGAAAACATTTATGTGACTCTACTACTTCCCTGCCTCCTACCCAATCACCCCCTCCTCCCTCTCCTTCCTCCTTAACAGCCCCTTACAGGTGAGGCAGAAAATCAAATCAGCTTAGCGGTGGCTTCCGCAGTCACTGCTGAATAACCTGTTTTGCAAAATTGTATCTTGCTAATTATAGAGCTACGAAGGCATTAATGCAGCCCACTTAAAGTGACACTGCAATGTGCTCCTCATTAGAACAGATGATATACTTGCACTTCCAGCTGTTTAGTTTCAAGCTGATGAAAATACACTGCAGTTAATAAAAATAGAGCACCGGATGGGTCTCACATCATGCAGTGTAATCTGTTCTTCAGTTATTTTCATAACTGAACTGTGCTTTTGAGCGTGTACTGGATGAACTACTGCATCCTGTTCTGAGCTGCTGTGATTCACCTTAAATGTAAACATCAAACTTCCTCCGCTCTCTGTTCCCTCTTATCTGAGGCAAAGGGTCCCCTTTTTTTCTCTTTATTCTCCAGGCACTGTCCTGCAAATCACATCTCTGACCTTGTTACGCCAGACTGCACCCATCCCCATAAATAGCCAGTCATCAATTATTCCCATTACTACAAGAATTTTATGCTCCCAGTAACTATAACTTTAGGTTGTGGAAAACGGCCAGGGAGAAATTACGATATGGCCTTGGGACAGAGGCTTTGCTGTTAAATCACAAGCTGTGCCTGCGTGTCTGGTTTGCAGTTATTGTGCAGTGAATGATGGAATGGTATATACAGAATAAACATACAGATAAACATAGAATTTCATTTTAGAGCAACTTCCCTTTGCTATATGATCCTACAGAGTCACATGTGGGTCATTTATGTCAATGTATTATATATAATAAAAGTGGAACTGCTCAACTGAAGCAGTGAAATGATTTATTGAGCCTTTCAGAGGGTCATAAATGTAATATAGGAGTCCACGTCCCCAACCATCATATTAATAGCTATTAATTGGCTACTCAGTACTTTCGCATAATTTAACATGCTATAGAAAGGCGAATGTGCAGAATGTCCTTGCCTTTTGCACTGGGGGGTTCAGCACACTTCCATAGGTGACACTAAATGATGTGACGGGCTAAATATACTGGTGAATGTAAAATACTAAACTTACACACCTGTACACTGTCAAGATTCAGTGCCAGCTCTCCTTGAAAGTTAAAGCTAAAGGTCTGCACTGTAACACCCACACCTAATTAAAGCATCTGTATGTCAGTAGCTGGCGAAGCAGGACTGGGTTCAGACAGGCAAGGTGTTCAGCTACGATGTGCTGAGGCGAGCAGCAAGGACCACTAGATGAAGGAAAGGAAGAAGTGATTCAATACATCAAGAAGATGAAGAAGTGGCGGTTCTCTTTCGACAGGCTGTTGGCACAGCACACAGGGAGCAGAAATTGCTGCTCATGAACAATGGTCCCAGCTTGTACTAAAAATACAGCCACGGTAAAACGAAAGTGCACGCTCCTCCTCTCAGGTTTTACATACCCAGATATGATAAAAAAATAATAATAATAAAATCTGTAGGTGAGTACAACTTGGCAACATATGCCATATTACATAGTGCTGTTGTTTATTTAACAAAATCCAAGCCAAAATTCAGAAGGAGCCCAAACCATCACCCCTCCACCACTGTGCTTTGCAGTTGGTATGAGGTGTTTGTGCTAATGTGCTGTGTTTAGTTTTTGCCACATGTGGTGAGCAAATATCTCCAGTTTGGTTGCATCCATCCAGTGAGCAAGGTTAGCGGTTTGCTGCCACAGTCTTTTTAGGGAGAAGACACTTTATCCTGGCAGCTCTTTTAAACAAGTCATACTTCTTCAGTCTTTTTTCTAATTGTGATGTCATGAATTTTAACATATCAGCTGAGGTCTGTAGAGCCTGAGATGTAGCTCCTGGGTTTTGTTGACCAAGGTGCATCTCTTTTGCATTATGACAGCTGTGATAGACTCCGGCACCCCCGCAACTCTGAAATGGATAAGCAGAAGGAAATGGATGCGTGTCATAATACAGTCTGACCTTGTGATGAATTTGCTGGGATGTCCACTCCTGGGGAGATTGACAACTGTCTTGAATGGTTTCTACTTGAATAACCTTTCTGACTCTAGAAAGATGGACTTCAAATTGTTTGGGCATGGCATTGTAACCCTTCCTAGATTGATGAGCAGCATCAGTTGCTTCTTTAAGATCATAGCTGATGTCTTTCTTCCATGGCATCCGTCCATCTTAATTTTTCTGAAAGCAGTAAGGGTGCACTTTGTTTTTCCCACACACTGCATTTTGACTTAATTTGTGCTAAATAAATAATGACATGCTGTAACATTTAAAAGGTCGTATTTTTACACAGTTGTAGCCTAAAGCTGTTTGAATTTTGCGACATGTTTAACTGAGAAAAAGATTTGTCATTATTAAAAAGCTACCCTCTAAAAATAGGTGTAGATGTAAGAGTGGATGCTTGCAGGTCTCCCTGCTTTGGCCCTGTGACTGACACGTTCGGGTTTGTCCCACTTATTTCCTTATTACAGCCAAAATAGGTTGCAATCTCCTTCGAGTCTTCATTCATCTTCATCATGATTAGTGTGCGCTGATCATTGTAGTGACTTCATTTCTTGATTTGTTTGGATCTTTGTGTTTTCTGTCTAATCTTGGATGTAAAGTGTTTATTTAGAACCTTCTGTCTGCATCAGTGCAATTTTATTCTGTCTTTGTTTTATAATAGCTTGTTGTCATTAAGGCCCCCAAAGGAATGGCTGTGATATATCATCTACAGCTATAAGCCATTGATTTCAGACAATCACATTTTATTTTATTTTAGTTTTTTAGATTTTGGTTGTTATGGTTGTTTGCATATCTTTGCATCTAGCATTGAATTTTAAGTTGTTATCGACACACTACCTTTTTTTATTCCATCTATATGATCTTCTACGAAATATTTGGTGGCTTGTTAGGCGTTGCACATACCGTGGTGGACCGAGGTGTCCTTATTGTACAGCAATCATCATGATAAATTACTCTGACTGTAGAGCTAGACTAGAAATCCTGTAACACACTCCTATGTTATGAGAATTTCAAGCTGCTGCAAATGACAGAATGAGGCTTTTCTTTTCTACAAATGCAATTTTCAGGGTAATATGATATAAGAGGAATGTTCATATTTATACATTATGACTCCATGCAAGCTAACCATGTAAATCTGACCCCTTTATGCTTTCACAGCTTGTTTCCAAGGGAATAAATATGCACTAAACTGTTGTTTCCCCTCGTTGTTGCTACTAATATATTTCACTTTATACTTAGATCTTACAAAAGGCAGTAAAGAGATTTAGTATATGTCAGTCAGGAAAGGAGTTTTCAAGCGCCACAATGCAGATGATCTTCAGCCTTATTCACACATTTAGAGAGATGACACATGGAGTGCAGCGCATTTCAAAACACAATGAGTCAGTGCGAGAACTGTGCATCCTCGGTCACTTAACTCCTCGAGTAAACGGCATTATAGCTATCTGTCAAAAAACGAACACACATCTCTTCTCTCCAAAAGCAAACACAGTTTCTCATTCATAGCCTTCAGCTGAGAAACCGATTGTTCCAGCACAGTTTATCCTCGTTGTGAATAAGACTTCTAATTCAAGTGGTTAAATGCCAGTTTGAGTGAAGCATTTTCAAAGCATCTCCACTTCCCAATCGGATTATTCCGCAAGACAATCTCTCCTGTGTTTATCTTATTAAAGTCCTATCTGTAATCCAGCATGGAGGTTTTCCCCCTGAACGATCCTGACACGATTGGATGCTAACCAGACTTTGGTCACCAAAGATCTTAAATAATTCCAACCTTTTGACTAATTGAAAGGGAAGCTTTCACATAAAGCAACGAGGCTAATTTGATAATTGTAATTTAACTATTCTTCCGCCAAAAAAAAAAAAAAAAAATTAAAGCAGTTAATGAACTATTTAAGTCTTTTTAACTGGAAATTGTCTA